TCCCTGCAGCCCTCCCAAACCCTCTGCCCCCATTCCTGATCGATCCCCCCTCCCCAGTCCTTACTGCCCCCCTATAAAGAACCCCCATTTCCCAGACCATCCTTGAGTATTTATAGGCACCTGCTCCTTTTAGACCTCCTCCTCCCCTTTCAGAACCCCCTTGCCCCTCACCCTGATGGATTTCAGCCCCCCCTATTTCCATAGATCCCCCCACCCACAGACACCCCCCAATCCCTCTCCCCTCTGGTCCTTATACCCCATCCCCCCCCATCCCCTATTAGACCCTTTTGGGCCTTATATAACTCCCCAAATCCACTCCCCCTTTGGGTCTTTTTAGACTCCAGCCCTCCTGGGCCCCCCGGGCCTTAAACACTCCCAGGTCCCTGTGCCCCCCTGAATCCTTCCGACCCCCCAGATGTGCCCCCCACATCACGACCCCCCCGGGTGGGTGTTTTGGGGAGCTGAAGCGGAGCTATTTCAAGGGGGTTCATTTGCCCCCAAGGCCGTGGGGGTTGCATTTTCCCCCCCATCCACGGGCAGGGATTGGGGGGRATTAAAATGAGGTGGGGGGGGAGGSGGTCAGACCTTTGGTGCGGGGGGTTGTACACCCCCCCTCCCCAATATCGGGGGAATATTTTGCAGGGGTGGTCGTGGTCCCTTTGGGGGTACCAGTAGGGGGAACATGGTGCCATCGGGGGCTGTTCCTCCAGCCTGCCCAAAATCCAGCCCATCCTGGTTGCCATGGCGATGTGGTCCCGTTCCCCCCCTCCCATCTCTCGGTGTAGCCTGTCAGCCATCGCGCATGTGTCCCCCCCTCACCGCGACTGGGGGGGACATTGCTCTGGCCGGGGGGAAACTGAGGCATGGCCGAGGCCCTGACTGTGCCCCMCGCTCAGGGGGTGGCACCCACCGTGTCCCCTGTGCCGGTGGCCACATGGGGAAGGGAGGGGTCCGGGGTGCCAGGCCCTGGGAMCCCCTGCTTTTTCTGCCGGTGGTGAGAGGGTCCCCTCTGTTCTGGCCAGCACGGGGCCCTTGGTGTCCGAGGGTCGTGGGACGGTGGCAGGGCACAGCCAGGGGACAGTGGCAGGGGACAGCCAGGCCCTGCCCGGGCACACATCCCGCACGGCGCTCTGTCCCTGGCAGGACTGGGGCGCTGCCGGTCTCAGCCGTGTCCCCAGGCTGTTGTGGGGATCCCCTCCGCGTGTCCTGACGCTGCCTTGACCCCCCCACGGGGAGGGGCCTGTCGGGCAGGGGACAGGCCGGGAATGTGCGGGGACACGGGTCCTGGAAGGGGGACAGGTGCTGGTGGCACTTGGAGAGGCTGCGGGTGATTGTGCCCGGTGTGGGCACGGCCACGGTTCCCTCGTCTGTGTCCCTGTCCCTGGGGTGTGCCAGCTCCCTGTTCTGACAGCTGGCTCCTTTGCCCGCTGCCACCGTCACCGCTGTCACCGCTGTCACCACCGCTACCATCATCACCATCACCGCCACCACCACCACCACGGCCACTGCCGCCATCCGGGCCACCCACTGTCCCCATGGCAACGAGCTGCCGGTGCTGGCTCCTTGCCGCGATCCCCCCGCCGCACGGCACCGAGCCCCTCCCGCAGCCCCTTCCCCCCGGTGCCACCCCCGGTGTCCCCGCAGCCCCCCCGTGTCGGGGTTCACCCCCCGCTGCTGAGTCACTGCAGGTGCAGCCCCCCGGCCTCGGCTGCTGAGTCACGGGTGGGAGCGCCCCCCTCTCCCCCAGCCCCCCGAAATTTGTTTGGGGGCGCGCTGAGCCTGTCCCTCCCCAGGGGGGCTTTCTCGGTGGTCCGGCGCTGCGTCAAGCTCTGCACTGGCCATGAGTACGCTGCCAAGATCATCAACACCAAAAAGCTYTCAGCCAGAGGTAGGATCCCCGAGACCCTTGGGTGTCCCCGAGATCCCCCTGTCACCCGAGGGGCCACTCCCTGTGACAACCCCCGGTGCCTCTGTGACCCCTCCGATGGCCCCGGTGCTGGTGACACCCGTGACACCCGTGACAGCTGTGACCCCGGCCGTGCTGGTGACACCGGGTGACGCTGATGGGGTGGGAATGCTCCGGGGGGTGGGGTCTGGCCCTGCCCATCCCCGTTACACCCCCTGCTGCCCCCCCGGGGCTCCTCAGAACTTCCTCTGTCCCTGAGGGGTGTCCTGCAGGTGTGAGCAGATGGCAGGGGAGGGGTGTGCACACACAGGTGTGAGCTGTGTGTGTGCATGTGTGTGATCTGTATGTGCACTGGTGTGAGCTGTGTGTGAGCTGTGTGTGCACTGGTGTGTTCAGTGTGGGCATGTATGTGATCTGTGTGTGCACAGGTGTGAGCAGATGGCAGGGGAGGGGTGTGCACACACAGGTGTGAGCTGTGTGTGAGCTGTATGTGCACAGGTGTGAGCTGTGTGTGCACAGGTATGTGCAGTGTGGTCACGTATGTGAGCTGTGTGTGCACAGATGTGTGCAATGGGGGATACCTGAGTGTGTGTGCACAGGTGTGTGCAGTTTGTAGATGGGAGGGTGTGTGATGGTGGGTGTGTGCATACATGAGCAATGGGGGAGACCTGAGTGTGTGTGCACAGGTGTGAGCTGTGTGCGCACAGGTGTGAGCTCTGTGTGTGCCCCTATGTGTGCAGTGTGTGTACACGTATGTGAGCTGTGTGTGCACAGGTGTGTGCAGTGTGTAGATGGGAGGATATGTGATGGTGGGTGTGTGCATACATGAGCAATGGGGGAAACCTGAGTGTGAGTGCACAGGTGTGAGCTGTATGTGCACAAGTGCACAAGTGTAAGCTCTGTGTGTACACGTACGTGAGCTGGGTGTGCACAGGTGTGTGCAGTGTGTACATGGGGTGTGTGATGGTGGATGTGTGCACACGTGACCAGTGAGGGATACCTGAGTGTGTGTGCACAGGTGTGAGCTGTGTGTGTGCACGTATGTGAGCTGTGTGTGCACAGGTGTGTGCAGTGTGTACATGGGGTGTGTGATGGTGGGTGTGTGCACATGTGAGCGGTGGGGAATACCTGAGTGTGTGTGCACAGATGTGAGCACAGATGTGAGCTCTGTGTTGCACAGATGTGAACTTTGTGTGCACAGGTGTGAGCTCTGTGTGTACACATATGTGACCTCTGTGCACAGGTGTGTGCACAGGTGTGAGCTCTATGTTTGCACACATGTGAGCAGTGTGTGCACAGGTGTGAGCTCTGTGTGCACATATGTGAGCTGTGTGTGCACAGGTGTGTGCACAGGTGTGTGCACAGATATGAGCTGTGTGTGCACAGGTGTGTGCACAGGTGTGTTCATGGTGCGGGCCCATGTGTGTGTTTATGGAGTGTGTGTGCACACATGTGTGGGTGTGCACACGCTTGTGAGCAGGGGATGCCTGAGTGTGTGTGTGGGCATGGTGCACACGCAGGTGTGAGCAGACAGGGTGTGTGGGTGTGCAYATGTCAGTAGTGTGTGCRTGCATGTGCGTGTGTGCACACGGGGGTGGGCACTGCTGTGTGTGCACACCTGTGAGCAGAGTGGGTGTGCTGGGGTGGGGGCAGGTGTGTGCAGGTGTGACACTCTGGGGTGTACAGGTGTGTGCAGGTGTGTGNCTCTCAGCCAGAGGTAGGATCCCCGAGACCCTTGGGTGTCCCCGAGATCCCCCTGTCACCCGAGGGGCCACTCCCTGTGACAACCCCCGGTGCCTCTGTGACCCCTCCGATGGCCCCGGTGCTGGTGACACCCGTGACACCCGTGACAGCTGTGACCCCGGCCGTGCTGGTGACACCGGGTGACGCTGATGGGGTGGGAATGCTCCGGGGGGTGGGGTCTGGCCCTGCCCATCCCCGTTACACCCCCTGCTGCCCCCCCGGGGCTCCTCAGAACTTCCTCTGTCCCTGAGGGGTGTCCTGCAGGTGTGAGCAGATGGCAGGGGAGGGGTGTGCACACACAGGTGTGAGCTGTGTGTGTGCACTGGTGTGAGCTGTGTTTGAGCTGTGTGTGCACTGGTGTGTTCAGTGTGGGCACGTATGTGAGCTGTGTGTGCACAGGTATGAGCTGTGTGTGCACAGGTGTGATCTGTGTGTGCACAGGTGTGAGCTGTGTGTGCACAGGTGTGTTCAGTGTGGACACGTATGTGAGCTGTGTGCGCACAGGTGTGAGGTCTGTGTGTGCACTTATGTGTGCAGTGTGTGGACACATATGTGAGCTGTGTGTGCACAGGTGTGTGCGGTGTGTAGATGGGAGGGTGTGTGATGGTGGGTGTGTGCATACACGAGCAATGGGGGAGACCTGAGTGTGTGTGCACAGGTGTGAGCTGTGTGTGTGTACAGGTGTGATCTGTGTGTGCACAGGTGTGTGCAGTGTGTAGATGGGAGGATATGTGATGGTGGGTGTGTGCATACATGAGCAATGGGGGAGACCTGAGTGTGTGTGCACAGGTGTGAGCTGTCTGTGCACAAGTGCACAAGTGAGCTCTGTGTGTACACATACGTGAGCTGGGTGTGCACAGGTGTGTGCAGAGTGCACACAGGTGTGTGCAGTGTGTACATGGGGTGTGTGATGGTGGATGTGTGCACACGTGACCAGTGAGGGATACCTGAGTGTGTGTGGACACGTGTGAGCTGTGTGTGTGCACAGGTGTGAGCTGTGTGTGTGCACGTATGTGAGCTGTGTGTGCACAGCTGTGTGCAGTGTGTGCATGTGTGTGAGCTGTGTGTGCACAGGTGTGAGCTGTGTGTGTGCACGTATGTGAGCTGTGTGTGCACAGGTGTGTGCAGTGTGTAGATGGGAGGGTGTGTGATGGTGGGTGTGTGCACATGTGAGCGGTGGGGAATACCTGAGTGTGTGTGCACAGATGTGAGCTCTGTGTGCACAGGTATGAGCTGTGTGTGCACAGGTGTGTGCACAGGTATGAGCTGTGTGTGCACAGGTGTGTGCACAGGTGTGAGCTCTGTGTGTGCACATATGTGAGCTGTGTGTGCACAGGTGTGTTCATGGTGCGGGCCCATGTGTGTGTTTATGGAGTGTGTGTGCACACATGTGTGGGTGTGCACACGCTTGTGAGCAGGGGGTGCCTGAGTTTGTGTGTGTGCATGGTGCACACGCAGGTGTGAGCAGACAGGGTGTGTGGGTGTGCACATGTCAGTAGTGTGTGCGTGCATGTGCGTGTGTGCACACGGGGGTGGGCACTGCTGTGTGTGCACACCTGTGAGCAGAGTGGGTGTGCTGGGGTGGGGGCAGGTGTGTGCAGGTGTGACACTCTGGGGTGTACAGGTGTGTGCAGGTGTGTGCAGGTGTGAGATGTGTGACCTGTGGGGGTATGCAGGTGTGGGGTGTGTGACACTGGGTGTGTGCAGGTGTGCACAGGTGTGTGTGGGTGTGGGATGTGTGACACAGTGGGTACAGGTGTGTGCAGGTGTGACACTGAAGGTGTGCAGTTGTGTGCAGATGTGGGGTGTATGACATTGGGTGTGTGCAGGTGTGACACTTGTGTGTGCACACACGTGTGTGTGAGCTGTGTGTACACGTGTGTGTGTGTGTGTGTGAGCTATGTGTGCTCTGTGTGCACACGTGTGTGAGCTGTCTGTGCTCTGTGCACGTGTGTGCTGTGTGTGCTCTGCACATGTGTGTGTGTTGTGTGAGCTCTGTGTGCACATGTGTGTGTGAGCTCTGTGTGCACATGTGTGTGTGAGCTGTGTGTGCTCTATGTGCACATGTGTGTGTGTGAGCTGTGTGTGCTGTGCGTGCACACATGTGTGTGTCTGTGCCTGGGGCTGTATGCACAGGTGTGAGCAGTGAGCAGAGGGGTGCACATGTGTGTATGAACTCTGTGTGAGCTGTGTGTTGTGCACATACACACACGTGTGCAGAGAGGCGCGTGAGCAGGTACACACACATGTGTGTCTGCGTGCCCTCGTGTGCACACACAGCCAGAGGTGCAGCTGCAGGGACACGCGTGCACTCATGTAGTGACATGTGTGGAGTCACACACAGGCACAGCTGTGCAGATATACACGCCTGCACATGTCTGCACATGCCTGCACACACAGGGGCTGCAGCTGCACACTCCACACACACTCCACATCACACACACACACACACACACACACACACACACACGCACTCACACACACACACACAGCTGCACAGATATACATGCCTGCACACGCCTGCACACGCCTGCACATGCAGGTGCTACAGTTGCACACTCCACATCACACACACACACAGGTGCAGCGATGCATGTGGATGCAGCTGCACACACGTGTGCACCTGTGCACACCCGTGTGACTGCAGAGCTGTACAGCTGCACACACGGGCACACCCAGACACACCCAGGTGTGTGCACAACTGCAGGACACGGATACCCACGCACACCCATCACAGGTGCTTGTACACGTGTGGACACCCATCCATACGTGTGTACACGCACAGCCTCACTCACGGGCTCACACGTAAACACGCACACCAGTGCACATCTGCATGGTGCGTGCATGCCTGCCTGTGTGTCCGCATGTACACCTGACCCGTGTGCACAGACACGCAAACCTGTACACGCTTGCACGTGTGCACAAGCCCATGTGCACACACCCAGACACATGCATACAAACACATACACACCCAGACACACGTGTATGAGCCCACGGGTGCACACCCATACATGTGTGCACACACATACACACACCCAGACACGGGTGTATAAACCCACAGGCACACACCCAGACATGCATGTACAAGCTCACTTGTGCACACCCAGACACATATGGACACACACTTGTGCACACCAGACATGTGCGCACACACACATGCACACACCCAGGCACGTGTACAAACCCATGTATGCACACCCAGATATGCGCACACACACATGTGCACACCCAGGCATACGTGCACAAACACACGTGCACACCCAGACATGCATGTACAAACCCACATGTGCACACCCAGACACGCGTGCACAAACACACGTGCACGCCCAGACACGCGTGCACAAACACACATGTGCACACCCAGACACGTGTGCACAAACACACATGTGCACACCCAGACACGTGTGCACAAACACACACATGTGCACACCCAGACACACATACACACACACTTGTGCACACCAGACGTGTGCACACACACATGCACACGCCCAAACACGCGTACCAACCCACATACACACACCTAGATATGCGCACACACACATGTGCACACCCAGACACGCGTGCACAAACACACANACACAGCCAGAGGTGCAGCTGCAGGGACACGCGTGCACTCATGTAGTGACATGTGTGGAGTCACACACAGGCACAGCTGTGCAGATATACACGCCTGCACATGTCTGCACATGCCTGCACACACAGGGGCTGCAGCTGCACACTCCACACACACTCTACATCACACACACACACACACACACACACACACACACAGAGGGACAGCTGCACAGATATTCATGTCTGCACACGCCTGCACATGCCTGTACATGCAGGTGCTACAGTTGCACACTCCACATCACACACACACATACACAGGTGCAGCGATGCATGTGGGTGTAGCTGCACACACGTGTGCACCTTGCACACCAGTGTGACTGCAGAGCTGTACAGCTGCACACACGGGCACACACAGACACACCCAGGTGTGTGCACAACTGCAGGACACGGATACCCACGCACACCCATCACAGGTGCTTGTACATGTGTGCACACCCATCCATACATGTGTACATGCACAGCCTCACTCACGGGCTCACGCGTAAACATGCACACCGGTGCACATCTGCATGGTGCGTGCATGCCTGCCTGTGTGTCCGCATGTACACCTGACCCGTGTGCACAGACACGCAAACCTGTACACACTTGCACGTGTGCACACCCAGACACATGCACACACACACATACACACCCAGACACACGTGTATGAGCCCACAGGTGCACACCCATACACGTGTGCACACACATGCACACAGCCAGACATGTGTGCACAAACACATACACACCCATACACGTGTGCACAAACACATGCACACACCCAGACACATGCACACACTCATGTATACACCCAGACACACGTGTACGAGCCCACAGGTGCACACCCATACACGTGTGCACAAACACACATGCACACACCCAGACACGTATGCACAAACACACATACACACCCAGACATGTGTGCACAAACACACATGCACACACCCAGACACGGGTGTATAAACCCACAGGCACACATCCAGACATGCATGTACAAGCTCACTTGTGCACACCCAGACACACATGCACACACACTTGTGCACACCAGACGTGTGCACACACATGCACACGCCCAAACACGCGTACCAACCCACATACACACACCTAGATATGCGCACACACACATGTGCACACCCAGACACGCGTGCACAAACACACACGTGCACACCCAGACACGCGTGCACAAACACACATGTGCACACCCAGGCACACATGCACAAGCCCCCAGGTGCAGCCCTGCCCCCCGTGTCACACCCCACAGTGCCCTCCCCTCCCCGTGGGCATCTCGGGCCCCTCTGGCCGGGGTGGGGCTGGGCTGGGGGCCGGGGAGGGGCAGGGACAGGGGGAGGGGGAGGGCAGGGGGATGGGGAGGGGGAGGGCAGGGCCGGTGCCCCCCTGACCACTGCCCCCCCAGACCACCAGAAGCTGGAGCGCGAGGCGCGGATCTGCCGGCTGCTCAAGCACTCCAACATCGGTGAGTGACCGCTGGGGACACCGCGGGGACATYKCTGGGGACCCGTGTGGGGCCACTTYGCCGGGCTGGGGCCACCCAGGGACACTGTGACAACCTGGGGACATGTTGGGGCCACCCAGGGTCACCCTGGGGACACGCTGAAGGCTACCCAGGGACACCCTCTGTGACACCCTGGGGATACCCTGAGTGTCCCTCTGGGGGTGAATGGGGTCCCACCCTGGGGTCCTGCTGAAGGCCACCCGAGGGACACACTGGGTGTCCCCATAGGGGACAGGTGGATGTCACTCTGGTGACATTTGGGGTCCCACCCTGGGTTCCCTCTGGGTGTCCCCATAGGGGACAGGCTGGATGTCACTCTGGTGACATTTGGGGTCCCACCCTGGGTTCCTCTGGGTTCTCCCATAAGGAATGTGCTGGGTGTCACTCTGGTGACATTTGGGGTCCCACCCTGGGTTCCCTCTAGGCGTCCCCATAGGGGGGACGTTCTGGGTGCCACCCTGGTGACATTTGGGATCCCACCCTGGGGTCCCTCTGGGTGTCCCCTTTGCGACACTGGCTGCGGGTGTGTGCGGGCTGCATGTGACACAGACACACACAGGTGCCACACGCAGTGGCTGTAGGGGCAGGGAGTCCTCGGGGGGGTGACTGACCCTGTCCCTGTCCCCATCTGGTCCCCACAGTGCGGCTCCACGACAGCATCTCCGAGGAGGGGTTCCATTACCTTGTCTTTGACCTGTGAGTGCGGCGGGAGGCTCCCAGAGCTCCGGGGGGGCTCAGGGGGTGCTGGGGGCTCCCGGCGGGGGTCTCGGGGTGACATGGGGTGCCCGGCTGTGTTTCAGGGTGACGGGTGGCGAGCTCTTCGAGGACATCGTGGCGCGGGAGTACTACAGCGAGGCTGATGCCAGGTGAGCCTTGCCCCCTCCCCGCACCCCCTAAAAAGCCCCGGACACCACCCCCGCACCCGTGCCCTGCACTTGGGGGGCTGCGGGGGTGGGGCAGCTCCAGCCAGGCAGGCAGGGGGGCTCCCAGAGGGAGGGGGTGCAGCCCCTCGGCCCCCCCATGATGGTGACCCCTCCCCTGGCCCCATCCTGCTGCTGGGTGGGGTGGGGCCCTCCCCCCGTTCCCCTTTTCGTGCTCTCCCCTCTGCCGCTGAGTCCTGGCACTGTCGTGAGCTGTGCTGGGGGGGCTGGTGGCGATGGGGGCCCCCCAGGGCCCCCCCCGTGCTGTCCCCAGCCCGCAGTGCCCTGTGTGCCGCCGTGTGCCCCTCCCCGTGGTCTCTGGGCTTTCACAACATTGTTTCTCCCCCTCTCTCGTTCCCCCCATCTCCGCCCCCCGATCCCCGTCCCCCTCGTGCCCCTCGCCCCCTCCATCCATCCCCCCACCCCTC